GTTCCGCGGCGGGAGCGGGGCTGCCGCGCTCTCTGCGTGTGCCAGGGATGATCAGCCTGGGCCCGCCTGGGCCGGCTGCGTGCGCCCGTCCGTGTCCGTGTGTCCCCGCCGGGAGCAGCTCCCCCGGCTGGAGCAGCTCCCCCGGCCTCCTCGGGCGAAAGGCGAGCAGCGGAGAGGAGAAAGTCCCAGTGCCCCCTGGGAGGAACTCGGCTCCGCTCCGGTGTGTTTACACTCACCATCTGCTATGGGGTTCTTACTTATTTTTCCCTTTCCCGAAGAGCGGCGGAGTCCTCTGGTTTCACTTCCTCGTTCTCTTTTCCAGAGATGTGTTTTGTAATTATTTCCCAATTGCTCCGTGGCCATCCCGGTGCATTGCTGGTCCTAGGCAGGGAAAAAGGAAAGGAGGTTTAAGAAGCAGCTCCACACCAAGGACAGTTCTCGGCTGCAGCGGTCTAGGAGCAGGAATGATTTCCCTGGAATACCCGGTGAGGGCAGAGGTCAATTACATGGCGTTTAGATGTAATGAATTAAGTTCCTTATTTAATTCAGAAGGATAAGGGAAAGCAGAAAACTAGCCGTGTTCTTTGTGACTAATACTTAAGGAATATGAGTTTTCATATCCTGTGGTTTTTTTGGCCACAGGATATGAATACAGAAATCCTGTACACAGGATCTCTCCTGTATCACCCACCGAAGTGAGCTACCTTGCCTCATTAAAAACAATTGAGTAAAATGAGTGATGACTCAAAAGTGACAGGCTGCAGATATGTGCCGTGTCCTCTTACGCCGAAAAATAACACACATAAAACTCCTGGTACTGAAGAAACTCATTGACTTTGCTGACTTCAGTCTGAACAGGAGTAAAATGTGTTCATTCTGTAACATCAGTGCTCATGCTGCAGCTGCAACCCAAAGAACTTTCAACTGTTACGCTACAGAAAAATGGATCCAGAATGGAGTCAAAGGGAGTTTTGAAGAATTTTGGGTAAAACAGATTTTGACAAAATACAGCTTCAACTTAACAGCAACAATGTGGTTCCACTGAAATTCTGAATAAGAATTGTGTGAGAGGGCAGAAGTCAGTATCATACTTGGTATGAAAGTATTAAGAAACTGAATGTTTATAAATATCTTTACAAAACTAAACTTTCAAACGAGTGAGTTCACCAAACCTAATTATTTTTAAATATAACTTTCAATCTGTTCAACACGTTCACAAGATTTTTCAATGAAATGTGATAACCAAATCTGAAGGCGTTTCTGTTTCTTCTTGGGCAGGAAAATAAACCTAAAATAAACATAAAATATTTTACAGTCACAGAGGAAGATTTGGCATATGCAGCACAAAGCAGTACCGCAAAAAATGCTATGTGGAGAGAACTATTTTTAGTAACCTATCATCTGCATTTAAAAGGCAAAAGATCTCATGTGACACAGTCCCAAGAGTGTTCATTATTGAAAGTACCTATCTTCACAATTTGGGAATTTCAAACAAGGGTATGCAGTAACCAGATGACTTTACTGAGAGGTGGTTTACAAAGTATTTTCACCTGCAAAGTATTCAAGCAACTGCATGGGCATGAGCTGTCTCAATGAAGATGAGGGTATTTGTCACAAGTAAAATTATAGGCCTACTTAGCCACTTTGTTAAGCTGAGTCAGCCTTGACTGTAGAGGCAGAGGTATCTGTGTTTTGCTCCTGAGAGTGTTGCGTGGTTTTTGAACTCCATCTCCCCACCCTCCCTCATCCTTGTACTCAGCAGAAGATTCACAGAGCCTCCTAATGGTTAACTCTGCGGTTTCTGTCAGTTCTCTTTCCTGCCCTTGCCCTGAAAGGGTAAAAAAGCCCCTGTGATTAACCAGAATTTCCAGACACACTCACAAGTGATGCTGCTAGTGAAGCCGTCAAGGTTTTGATCAGTCCAGTGTCACAGACAGACAAACAGCAGAGACAGCAGCAAGAGGTTGTATGGGACACTGTCACCTTTTCCAAATTTTAGGGATTAGGAGGGACAAAAAAAATGCCTAAACGTGGTCCTAAGCTTAAGCCTTGAGCATATAATAATTGTGCTGAAATAGATTTACTACCTGAGGCCCCAGCAGATAGCTATGGGAGTTACTGGAGGAGGAACACTTGTGGTCACCACACCCCAAATCTCTACAAGCATGTGTAACCTAATCTTTTCCCTCCAAGTTTCCTTCTGGTGTGGCCCTGGTGACTTCAGCAGAAAGCTTCTCTTTGAGGCTATGACAGGGTGTTTCACCAAAATCTTCATTAGGTTTTGCTAGCACAAGGAAGCCTTAAAAGGAAATGTCAGATTGAGAGGTGCAGATTCACCAGGATCAAGACATTCTCATTGAGATACGTGCTGTGAAAGTCAATACAGCTGATGCATCTAATTCCCTTGCATCATTTGTCTGCACTTCGTATTTTCTCTTCTGGAATTCATTCCTTGTTGCATGAGCAAGGACTTCACATAATCCCCGTGCTTGATGCTGTCTCCTTCCAAAAAATAAGAGGAATTCATGTTTTTCGCACTTTTATCCCTTTGTGGTTTTGTTTCCACATGTATGGATCCAGCATAGGCAGGCACAGGGGAAGCTGAAATATGTAAGATCAAATTGGTTTCAAAAGCTGTGTCCATCAGGGTTGAACATGTATCTTTGTGTGAACTTCATCAAGGTCTCAGTCCTTCACCAAACAAGCACCTTTTTATTCTTGAGAGAAGTCTTGGGGCACAGAGTAGCACTAGTCTGTCTTATTCAGTCGACCAGACATGCAGTGGTTGTCTGCCTAAGTGATCCTAATTGCATGAATTTTGAGTCTGGCCAGAGCTATAAACAGTCCTTGGGGGTAAAACATTAATTTCTGTTTTGTAGGAACATTTTATGACCCTGAAAGGAACTAGTTTTGGAGGACAGCTAAGTATGCCAAGCAGTGCTTCATGACCACAGGCTGGGAGAGCAACCTCACCTTGGCACTGGGGTACACAGAGACAATTTTGGGAGGTCTAGGGGACGTATGGGCTTCACTAAATGTTTTTCTCTCACAGTACTGCTTGAGCCAGGTTGGCATTAGGGGTTTTGTCATACCATGGTGAGCATGGAGCACTCTGGTCAGGTCCTGGTTTACCTTACCATCAGAGGAGAAAGGAAACCTCCCGTACCAAATTGCTTCTGCTCTCCTATCAAGAGACATCTGCTCAGTGAAGCATTGTGACACTGATCAATACATATTGGTTTTGTATTGCATATGATCATATCCACTTACACCTTTGGAGCAAGGATTAATTGAGTGACCTTCCCTGTATTGTATGTTGTATGTGTATGTATAATGTACTGAATGAATTCTGGAACCAGCTAGTTTGTTAATATTATGCTACCACTGAAACCTCCAAGGAAGTTGAAGTTCACTTTAGTTAATCATGAAATAATAATAATACAAAGGCAGTTTTTGAATTAAGGCTCATGCATTTTGTTCCCTGCTTTTGAACAGGCTGTAAATTGATTTATACTCTGACTCTTGGCTCCCTCATCACCAATGGCAAAAAAGACACCACTTTCTAGAACTATAACCATCTTCACTACTGAAGCCAGAAAGAGCAATAACAACTAGAAAATATAGAATTTCTATTCATTCAAAAAGATAAATGCTCCTTACACTTCAAAATTCAGTTTAGTAAATTGAACAAAGAAAGGTTATTTGTCTCTCAGTTGTGAGATAACTGACACGGATTTATCTTTGATGAAAAATCTCCAGTTTGGCATTAAAAAAGGATCAATCCCCATACCTGTACTTTTCTCCATGTTTAGTCTGTTAGAACAGCTCATCTATTTTGGCTTTACTTTGTCCTTTCAGTTAATGCAGATATCATCATTGTTCATTGCTGGAAATTGTGATGCCAAGGAATATATAACTACCACGGAAGAACAGCAAAAATGCTTCCCTTTAACAAAACAGCTTTGTGAATATATTTTTCTAGTTAATCTGATTTCAAACACTCAAGTATGCAAGTTTCTTTCTTTACCGTTATCAGTATAATCAAAAGCATAAAAATCTTATTGGCTTTGATATTCATATAAATTAGATTAGTGGTAAAGTTTGTTTACAAGTCCATAGAGAAACATGCCATAACTGGAGAACGAAGTTTTGTTTATTTAATTCAGTGTTTCACTGCCAAAGCTGTCTTGGTGAAGAAAATAATGCTTCTAACTCAGAGGTGTATTTCCCCAGTAAAATCTGTGTACACTGGCTGAGGATCTAATCCTGAAGAAGGTGAGCAAACTTCTTGTTCTCCACTGTAATCCCCAAAGCTCCACATGGATACACAAAACTGAAGGACTCCAAAGGACTTGAGCATTGTATTTTCACAAACAGCAGCTAATAAAAACCTCCAATGGCTGCCTTGTGTGTTTCTGTGCCTTTTTATTTGAACAAAGGAAGTCTGCATGAATGCAGTTTTACTTTTCATTCTGAACTCTTCCACTTGGAGGATCCCCATGACAAAATATTTTGGTTCTGCAGGCTACCAGGGTTTATTTGTAAATTATCTGTTCATCTTTCTAATCTTACTTAAATTGTGGAAATATTTTGGTTTGTCTAGGAATTTTTTTTGAGATTATTTTTTATAACATTAATATATTTGGCAAAACTGAAGTTAACAAGCATTCTTTTCTGCCTTGTAATTTATCCATTGTACAAAATAGGAAAAGGAAGGAAATCTGCTGAAAGGAATAACTATATTTCTATTTGTAATAGATTGAGTGCTAGCATTGAGAACATTGTCTGAGGGTAGTATTCTGTACCATAAAATAGAGGATTAAAAAAGAATAATATGTGCTGCATTTTATGGTGTCTGTGACTCCAATACATCATCACAGCAGGAGCTTTCTTCAGTACCAGTGAACCTGGGGGGGCTGAGAAAATTCTGCATTTAAGTCTCATTAATTCGGTTTGCCTTGGGCCAAAATAGCACCTCAAGTTGTTCATTTGGCATGGAATTATTAAAGTTTTCCTTGTGTGTTTAGTGAGCAGCACCTTCTCTGCAGACAAAAGACCAGACAAAAAACCATAAAAAAAATCAGGTAGGCATCATCTGAGATTATGCAGAAAATGTAGACTATCCAGCAGTAAAAATTAATACACCAAAACATATAAGGTGCACATATATATTATGTAGAGTAGCACCTAAAAGGCCAGTTACTGGAAAGGTTACCAGCACAGGTGGACTTCTATTGTTGCAGCTGTTACAGACAATCCATTCCACAGGATTTGCTCAGTACCATTCACCCATGCAGAGCAAAGCCAGCTTTCCAGCACTACCTTCCCAAATTCTCCCTTTCACTTCTACTGCTGTACTTTTAACTTCTCTTCTGAAATGTCCATATTCTTCATATGCCTATCAACCGATCCAGACTTCACAGAAAACATTCATCTACTCCTTTAGCTTAGTAAATTAAAAAAAAAAAATTGTCTCCTAGTAAGAACATCTGGATAGCCTTCAAACATTAATAATAGTTAATGTCAAAATCAGAAGAACATGTCATGAATTCTGTATTATTCAACTGGCTTGTATGATCAATAACCAGCATCTTGGCAACAGGCAGAAAAATGTGTAAGCTCATTCACTTACTG